CAGGCGCTGTGGTGCACGCAGGCACGGTGGTTCACACAGGCGTTGTGGTGCAGATCGCCACCTACATGCTGTTCCTACCCGTCCTCGGTCAGCCCTAGGCATTCCCAGACGTTGCCGGCGCGAAACGTGACGTCACCGGCCCCCCCCCCCTGGTAACGGCCGCCATCGCCCTGGGAAAAAAACAGGCTCCATCTTCGCGCTTTCGCGCCGCTCCCCCCCCCCCCCCCCCAGAACAGGATGGGGGACTCGCGCCTTGCTCTGAAATCGCCCAGACCGAGAAGCGCGAAGCGCGACTAACTTCGAACCCTCGTGGTGACACTACAGTCAACCAGTATAGTAAGGATGCGCGATAAGGATGCAATGGCCTTGGACGCCGATTTCGAAGCTTTTCGAGCGGGGCGCGGCCAACAAAAGTGGCCAAGGATGGGCCTAGGAGGCAAGGATGCAAGGGTACCCTTGGGACGGTTGCCCATCCTTCCTATCATGACTGCCAAAAGAAGGACGGGCAGACGAGGACGAGCACAGCTCCGGCGAGCACGGCCCAGCTCGGGCATGTGACCCCAGCTCGCCCGAATTCAGAAGTCTGCGGGCGAGGAGCTCGGCGGGATCGGCAGGTGGCGGCATCCGAACCCTGCACCCACCAACAACGGAGTCTCCTGAATTCGGGCTGGGCGAAACGGGGGGATAGCAAAGGGGGGGGTTGAGAATCAGCTCACGTAGCTGATTTTCCTGGCGCCTCCCAGCACCGGAGGCGGCTATGTATCGAGGAATGGACCCCTCGGTGGGGCCGAAACCAGCTGCATGCAGCAGATTTCGTAACCCCCCCTTTCCCAATCCCCCCCTCTCGTCCGGCCCGATGAATTGATGGGAGGCGGGGGCAAGGCTCGTATTTCGTCACGCCCTCGATGGATTCCAAATCCTGCCGTCGGGCTGCCGAAATAAGAAACGCCTGACAAGGAACGAAGCCCCTTTGGGGCGCCAGCAGCGCCTGGGTGCGCGAGGAGGGCTAGAGGAACGACCACCAGTGAATGGCCTCGGGAGCAATGATCCCCTTTCGAACCCTAAGCAGTCCTTATCTCAGCACCTTGACTACAGGGCATAGGGGGGATGCATCTGCTTCGGATGGCCGATGCATCGCCCATATGTCTCTTCGATGCATCGCCGATGCAGACCGCCCCATGCATCGTCTACACATCGTCGACACAGCGCCCTGACATCGTCGCTGCATCGTCGATGCGTCAACCACTCGAGGTCGATGCACCCCCCACTCCCCCCCCTACTACTCGCCATCGCTCGGACGTCCATTCCGTGTGCTTTTTTCGGATTCGTGCGTGGCTTTTTCGCCAGATGATCAAGGATGCTCCTCGAAGGTCCTCGCCGAAGAAAAAAATGCACACGTCCGAGCGATGCTAAGCCACTCCCCCCTACTGTGCCTATCCCCCCCCTTCCGCTGCCCCCGGCTCACTCGATGTGCAGCGTCTTGTCGCCGGCGCCCAGCCGCCGCTTGTGGGTCTCGGGCCACGGCGATTCCGCCGCTCTCGGGAGACCGCGCTCGGGGCTTAGGACGGAGCTCGGAGGTCACTGCCGACCACCCTCGGAACGTGTGCTGTCGCCAACGTGTGCTTGTCCTCCTCCTCCTCCTCCTCCTCATCCTCCTCATCGTCCTCCTCGTCCTCCTCGTCCTCCTCCTCCTCGTCCTCCTCCTCGCCGTCCTCCTCTTTGGACGCCCGAAATGGGTACGGAAAGAATGGGTACAATGCCCAACAACAAATGTTGTCCCAAACCAACAGCGGCCGCTGTTGGGCAAGCGGCCTTCTGCCTCGAATGGACTCAGGCCGCGGCGGCGCGGACAGCGAGTCCTGTTCAAAATGAACTGCTGTTGGGCATCGTACCCATTCTTTCCGTACCCATTTCGGGCGTCCAAATTGTCCACCCGAGCCCCTCAGTACGACACAGGCGGTCGAATTAGGGCCGACACGAGCTGCATGCCATCGGCGGATCTGCACGGGATAACCGCACGCTTTGTGATAACACACGCCCTGGAGACGGTCGACACTAGCAAGGGGGGGGCAACGAATGAACTCGCGCAGCCAGCTTCCCCGGCGCCGGATGCGGTCGTGTATCGGGGAAAACGCCCATCCGACCACGGCTGATGGGCCTGTGTTCCACCACCACCACCACAAGTTGCAGGGGGAGGAAGTCCTCCCCCTCCTCCTCCTCCTCCTCCTCCTCCTCCTCCTCCTCCTCGTCCTCCTCCTCCTCCTCCTCGTCCTCCTCCTCCTCCCCTCCTCATCCTCATCGTCCTCCTCTCCTCGTCTCCTCCTCCTCCCCCTCGCCCCTCCTCCTCGTCCTCCTCCTCCTCCTCCTCCTCCTCCTTCCCCCCTCCAACCTATGGTGGTGGTGGTGCAAAACAGGCCCATCAACGGCGGCCCCGCCTCGAGCTCGCTTTTAGGACTGCGCGCTGGGGACAACACCCGTCACCCGGGCCCCCGCTCCCCCCTGGCAGCACGCTTCGCGCTGGCGTCGTCTGGGAATGGCTAGGGGCATTCAACGGTCAGCGCTGGCGCAAATCGTGACATTGCCCGCCTCCTCCCCCCCTCGGGGGCGGCCAAGAGGGGGGCGTCCAAGAGGAGGGGTGCAAACCATGGCCGGCGGCACGTGCGCGGCCCAAGGGGGGGCCAGGGACGGAATGAAATAAGAAGAGGCGCCATGAAATCTGGGGGAACACCATGGCCCACGCCATGATATCCACCCCCCCATAGTCATCACACCCCTCTTTGCCGCCCCCGACCCCCCTCCCCCCGCGGCAACGCCCGGTGTCGCCAGAGAATGCAAACTCCACTCTCAGGCAATCACAGGCCCAGGCCTCCAAAGGACTGCTCTTTCTGCAGTCGTTCTCCGATGTCGGGCCGGGGGCTCTCTCCGCGCCCCTGTGCATGCAACAACATTTGGCGATCCGCGCGTATTTCCAAAAGTCGGCGCAGGAAGCGCCACCAAGGGGGCCCAGCACCGACCGACGAGACCCGCGCGGACCTCCAGAAGCCCAGGCTCGCGCCGCGTCCTGCCCTTCGGTCCTGGGCAGTCACGCGCGAGCCCTAGTCCGAGTCGCCCAGAGAGCGCGGGGGGGGGGGGGGGCCGTCGCGCGGGGGGCAGGAACGGGCCGTCCCTCGTGGGCCATGCTTGGGGGCGGCTGGCGTCAGGAGCGGGGAGGGGGGCGGTGGGGGAGGAGCGGTGCGCGCAGGGGCCCCGGCATGGGCCGCAGGGACGGGGTGGCGCGGGCGGGGTGCTCATGACATCGAGGAACGCCCACACGGGCCTGGCTTTTGAGACAACGGTGGGAGGTTCAGAATGGTTAAGTAGGGAAAAGAACTCTACCCATACGACCACCTCGCGGTCAATAAGGAGGTTTGGGGGGGGAGGGGGGCCAGCAATGGGCAACAGTGGTGATTGTTGCGTTGCCGCTCGCTCTCGGGAGCCTTGGTGTCAAGTTGTTTACGTCATCCTTCGCTCTTGGGCGCCTTGGTATCATTCTCCCCCCACCGGGAACCAACGAAATAATAATTGATTCAATTCATTTTGCAAGGGCTTGGGGGGCCGTTTGGGCGCGTCTTTGGGACCTCTTGGGGGGTCTTGGAGGCCTCTTGGGGGGCTCTTGGGGTCCTCTTGGGTGCCTTTTGGGAGCCTTTCGGGGATGGCGCACGCTTGTTGCTTTTCTCGCACCGCGCGGCCGAGCATCGGAACGTAAAGGCGGCGGGAGTGGGCCGGCGGCGGATGTCTCACAGCGTCGCACAGGCGACGGACGCGGAGGCGGCGGAATTGGTCGACTTTGGATCTCGCTATCGATCCCACGAACGATCCCCCTATCGATATCACTCGATCTCACAATCGATATCACGATTCATCTCACTATCGATCTCACGATCGATCTCACGATCGATATCACTATCGGTCTCACTATCGATCTCACTATCGATCTCACGATCGATTTCGTCATCGGTCTCACTATCGTTTTCGCACCAGCGGGACACCAGGACACCGGCGGGACACCGCCGGGACACCGGCGGGACACCAGCGGGACACCGCGCGCCACCATTTGCCGGAGCGAGAATCATTTGGTCCGGCCGGGGCCCAGCCACAAGCGGGACACCGACGGGACACCGGCGGGACACTGCGCGCCACCACTTGCCGGAGGGAGAATCATTTGGTCCGGCCGCGCCTCAGCCACAGGAGACTTTCCTCTCGCCCGCCCACGCAGCTTCGCCTCGCCCGCACGCGCGGCACGCACGAACACGAAACCGAAACCGATTTCCCGGTGGGGGGCTCTCCGTTCCACTTCGATCTCACCCCCCAACCTCCGACACACCGACGCTTTTCCGACCCTGCGCCGAAATTCGCACAGGGACGCGGATCCTGGTGTATACGGGATCCTGGTGTAAGAAAACATTGTTCGCTGTTCCCCTCGGAAAACGGGGGGAAAAGTACACACCACACCACCCCGACGTCGCCCCCGACCCTCACAAAGTCGCGGGATTGAAAAACAACCCGCCACTGGTAATGTAAGTATACATTTATCGCTGTTTCCCTTGGAAAACGAAGGAAAAGTACACACCACACCACCCTGACGTCGCCCCCGACCCTCACAAAGTCGCGGGATTGAAAAACAACCCGCCACTGGTAATGTAAGTATACATGTTTCGCTGTTTCCCTTGGAAAACGAAGGGAAAATACACACAACACCACCCCGACGTCGCCCCCGACCCTCAAAAAGTCGCGGGATTGAAAAACAACCCGCCACTGGTACGGGAGGTTCGCGTCGTGACGACCCTGGCGTTGGTTTCTGACACCGCGTGGATCGTTCAACCTTAAACGATCGGCCGTTCCCGCAACGTCCAATCGTTCAACATCGACCGATTCTGGGTCGCCGCCGGCGTTCAACGTTAAACGCCGCGGGCGGGGTCGCCGACGGTCGACACGACGCGAACCTGCCGTAATGCATCTGTTCCGGTTTCCGATTACGGAGGCCTGCGGCAGACTCCCGAAGCCCTGCAGCGCAGGAGCTTCCGCCGACCCTCCGCCGACCCTCCGCCAGCGGAGCCGCCCCCAGTCGTACTTCCGCCGGGGTCTCGAGGCAGCCGCCGGGGGCGAGGCCACGCTGGAGGCGCCCCTCCCTGGAACGGAGAAAAACCCTCCCCACTAGCGTTAAGTCGGGCCTGTCCCCCTACAGGCCGATCTTGGACGAAAAATTGAAAATAGCCAAAAAGACCCCCAAATGGTCAAAAATATGAATAAATAAAAATCGTCCCCATACTATTTTAAAACTTGTTTTGAATATTCCCCCTGTAGAGGGACAGGCCCGACTTAACACTAATTATTAGCGTGTCCGACACCCCAGCGTCGTCGATTAGACTCGAAGGGGTAGAATTCTAGGGGGTGCAATTGGCCGCAAGGCTCCTTACGCCCGCCAAGGGTCTCCGCTGCAGAGAGGAAAAATTTACGATGGCCGGGCGTGCCCAAATTCGAATGCGCTGAACAGGGTGTGCCAGGAATCGGGGGTCAAGCACATGATGGCCCGAGGCACGTGCGCGGACAACTGGGGGCCAGGAGACGCATTGGGAGGCGAAATGGGGGCCAAGAAATCTCTAATACTGCATGGCCCAAGCCCCGATATACACACGCACACACACAGACTCTCTGTCTCACACACAAACGCACACACAAACACAAACACATACACAACCACACACACACACGCACACACGCAGAACTCACCTCCCTCCGATACGACGCCCCCGCCCCTCGCCCTGTGGGTGTGGGGTGACGTTGCGGTGCCGTCGTCGACGTCGGTGCCGTCATCGTCGTCGCCGTCGCCGTGGTCGTCATCGCTGTCGTCGTCGAAGTCGCCGTCGGTGTTGTCGTCATCGTCGTCGCCGTCGTCAACGACGACGTCGTCGTCGTCATCGGAAACAACAATTTAAACACAAAAAAACATCGCGGCGGCCGGCTTACCTGGGCCAGCGCCCGCCCCGCGCTTCTCCACCCACCCCGCGGACTGCAAGCATCACTGCGGGATGTTCGCATCGTGATGACACCAGCGTTGGCTGGTTCCCGACACCCCGCGGATCGCTCCACCCTTGAACTAGGTGATGAACAATCGGCGGCTCTTCGACTTCCAGGCCTTTCATCATCAGAGCAACAAGAGCCGCCGCCACCACCAGAATTCCATAGAACCCCGTTCCCCTTAAAGCTACCCCCTCCGAGCTGGTGGCACTCCGTTCTGGGCACTCTCCCGGGGCGCGCCTGGAGAGGGGTGCCACCAGATCGGGGGGGGCAGCGTGGTGATCCGTTCGTTCTGTTGGGAACCCACAAAGAACGTACGCGCCCAACCGCGAACGCGAGACCAGCCTCGCGATACGAACGTTCGCGCAGCGCGTACTTTCGAAGCCAACGTGGGTTCATCTACGTGCGCGTCCTTCTTTCGCTCCCGATTCATGTCTGGTGAGTTCCCCTCGAGCGCCCGCAGCGGCGCCGCCACAGCGTCGACACGATGCTAACCTGCCAGACCCCTCTTCCGCCCGAGAACTTTCTATACTATACCGAAAAGCCCCGGAGGCGGGCGAAGGTCCTGGTCGTGGGTCTGGTAAACACAATTCCGTCCCTGGGGCGTGGTTTCTGCATATGTCGGCTGCGCGTAGGCGTGACCCTGGGCAAACGCGACCTCCGGTGCGCCACTGTCGGGGGCCGCGGGAAGGCCGAATCGGAGCGCGCAGGCCGCTGCTAACGCATGGCATCGCGCCGCTACGGTGGGGGGGGTGGTGGTTACGGAACGCGCACGGGAGGCCTCAGACCCTGGATGGGTTCCTTGTCTGATGAGGGCGGCGGTGCTATCCACTGCCGATCCGCGATGGGAGTTCCGCTGGCTTCGAGGCCCTGGATTCCTGATCGAAGGCTTCCTCACCCAATGCCCCCGCCGCGTCGCTGCCATCGCATCGCGGGGACCCCCGTGTGCCCGCACCAGAGAGGTCATGACCTGGCGACAGGTCACTCTGGCGCACAGCCGGCGTATACCCCGAAAAGGCGGCCCTGGGCGGTGCGGGAGAGGGGGGCGGGGAGAGCGAGGTGGCGGGGGAGAGCCTCTCCCCCCGCCGCCCCTTTCCCGGTGGGTCGGACGGAACACGGGCGGGCTCTGGCAGACCAGCGCGCGCGTCACGACGCGCCCAGAGCAACGCACGAAACAGGCGCGCAAAGTAGGGAGGTGCGTTGTCTCGAGCACTGCCAGCATGAACACAGTGGCGCCGGGACCAGTTTCTCACCCTGAATCGTTGTGTTCCGGTCCCGAAGCCCGGTGAGGGCCCCCAGGGGCCGAGAATAGTGCAAAAACTAGCGTCGTGGTTTCTTCCCGACTCGAGGGGGTCTGGGTGCATTCGTCCTGCGCCAGGCAGCCACGGCGCTCGGAGGTCGGGAGCGGCCTCGGCAAGAAGCTGGCGGTCGGCCTGCGGAGTCTCAGGGTTGACCCCGGTCCGAAGGCCGCGGTCTGGAGGCTCACACCGGCGAAGGGACCCAGAGGACACGCAAACGAAGAGACACAAGTCCCAGGATTCCCTGTACGTTCCATATGTTCTGGGTGTTGGCCTGCGCCTCCACATCCCGTGTGCTCCTGGGGATCGACGGCTAGTTATTTGTGTCCGTGTGTTTTCCCTGACACAAGAGAGGCCTTGGGTGCGCGGATTTAGGGGTCCGCGGGGAAGGGGGGGCAAGTCTGAGCGCGCAAGCAACTGCGGGGGGGGGGGGGGGGGGGGGGCAAGCCATTGCGGGGGGGGCGCCCTGTGGGGCCCGCACCAAAGGTCACTTTGGTGAAAGGTCACTCTTACGCGTACGAGTAGCCGATAAGCCTGACGCAGACGACACTCCGAGCCTCTCCCGGAGAGGCATGGAGCCAGCGATGTGAGATCGGCAGGGGCAGAAACTTCTTATCTGGTACCGGAAAGAGGCTATGGGCCAAGCGCCAGGGGGTCAAAGACAATGAAGCAGGCGCCCGCGAGTCCAAACCACAACTAAAACTATGCCAACTACCCATGCGTCCGTTGTCTAAAGAGGTTCCGCCTGCTTGCATTTGCCCGCCCCCCTGTAGTACAGCCCTGGGAACGATAGGGCATTTTTGTTACCAATTCAATGTTGCCTGTCGTTGTTTTCCAGCTCTGGCGCCGTTTGAAGTCCCAGCTCCGTCGCAATTTTGCTGTTCTTTGGTGCTGGCTCCAATCCCGGAACGGCTTACTTTCATACCGCTTCAGCCAGCCATTGTGTTGTTCCGCCTCACGTTCCAGGAACAACTTCTCGAAAGTGGCAACAAAACGGCCCTGCCGTGTCCGCCCCCGCTCCCCCGGGTTCCTCACGGCAGCGGGACCGCCGTGGGTCTCGAAGAGGGCGACCATTGCCTCCACATACGCGGCGTGCGTGGCCCGCACGATGGCATCGACCTCGCTCTTCAGGGCCTCCTTCTGCTGCTCCGACAGGGCAGTCCCCGGCTCGCAGCCGGAGGGCGCGGTGGGCAGCGGCGGGCCGTGGATAGGCTCCCCCACGACCACGGTCAGCGGGACCTTTTGCACCATGCGGACCTCCTCCTACTCCTCACTCCTCCTCCTCCTCCTCCTCACTCCTCCTCCTCCTCCTCCTCCCTCCTCCTCCTCCTGCTCCTCCTCCTCCTCCTCCTCCTCCTCCTCCTCCTCCTCCTCCTCCTCCTCCTCCCGCTGCTCCTCCTCCTCCTCCTCCCCCTCCTTCTCCTCTCCTCCTCCTCCTCCTCCTCCTCCTCCTCCTCCTCCTCCTCCCTCCTCCCCTCCTCTCCTCCTCCTCCTCCTGCTCCTCCTCCCTCCCCTCCTCCTCCTCTTCCTCCTCCTCCTCCTCCTCCTCTTTCTCTTCCTCCTCCTCCTCCTCCATTCCTTTTCCTCATACATGGCTTCTCACTGTGCACTTCGAGGACGGCTTTCAGGGCGGGCCAGGCGCTTCGCCCGAGACTCCCTCACCATGTACGACCCTGCAGCGCAAAGATTGGCAACAGCTGCACAGGTGGAGGAAAGACTGGTCTACTCTGTAAGAACGGTTTTTTGAAGGCAGATCTGACTTCAAACTCTTTTGAAGGCAGATCTGACCTTCAAAGAGGAAAGACTGAAGGCAGATCTGCCTTCAAAGAGGAAAGACTGGTCTACTCTGTAAGAACGGTTTTTTGAAGGCAGATCTGTCTTCAAAAAACCGTTCTTACAGAGTAGACCTATTTTTCGAAGGCAGATCTGCCTTCAAAAAACCGTTCGTACAGGGTAGTTTGCAAAATGTAGCCCTCGCCTTAGCGCCACGCGCACTCGATTTGAGAATTGGCAACGAAGGCTTCAAGGATTGAGGGCGGGTAGTTTTCAAAATGTGGCTCTCGCCTTAAGGCCTTGCACATTCGATGTTTGCAGAAGCTACACGGATTGAGAGCGGGTGGTTTTCAAAATGTGGCTCTCGCTCTAGCGCCGCGCACATTCGTTCTAAACATGTGCAAAAGCTTCACGGATTGAGAGCGGGTGATTTTCAAAATGTGGCTCGCGCCTTAGCGCCGCGCACATTCGTTGTGAACAGTTGAGCTTCACGGATTGAGGGCGGTTCCTTTTCATCTCGCCTCAGCGCCGCCAGCGTATCAGAAATGGCGTTGTGGGAAATATTCAGAATTAGAAGGGCGCAATAATTACGTTAATTCGCGGTGTTGGAGTCCCAGGAATGGCAGTCTGGCATGATTATGAACCGTCGAGACGCAACAGTCGAGTTAATCCGTAGCGTTAGAGTCCCGAGCAGAACATTTTGGCATACTTCAGGGTCTTCAACGGTTGTCGTCCAACCAGGAGGCAGTTCCCTCAGTGGTATTGAACCACTGTAGGGGCCTGTGAAGAGGGAGCTGGAGGGAGGGTTTACACTGGACCTCCTCCTCCTCCTCCTCCTCCTTCTCCTCCTCCTGCGCATGGTCCTCCTCATCCTCCCCCTCCGCCCCTTCCCCTTCCTCCTCCCCCTCGCTCCCACGCGAGGGGGCGCCCCAGACCTTCTTGGGTATGCAGACGGCCAAGAAGCGGCACAAGCATAAAACGTTTTGGAGCTCCGCGCGGGTTCCCAGGTCGGCGCAGGACCCTCCTCCCCACACCCCCGAGGCGGCGCCTCTGGCGCCGCTCTGGGCGTGCTCCGCGCGCCAGAGAGGGTGCGTGGTGGGAAGGGGTCCAGCGCCGACTCGGGCAATCCGCGCGAGTCTCCGAAGGTTTACGTCCTGTGTCGATGCTGGGTCTTCTGTGATACTCAGCGGCACTCCGAAGGCCCCAAAGTACACCATCGGCAAGAAACCTGTCTTGCGTCCGATGGTCTGGGTCAATTTGCCTGGTGGGATCCACCACGAGTAGGCGTCTAAAATGCCGAAGCAGAAGGCCGGCACGATTGGACAACCCTTCTCCAAGGCTATCTTGACGAAGCCGAGCCGCGATTTCAAGAACAAATAGATGTCATTGTCGGAACCCTTGTCAAGCAGCGCCACTTCGGAAACGCCACCAGGGATCAAGGAACAAGAGATGCCCTTGTCCAAGAGTCTGTACATCTCCTTCTTGTCCGCGGACGCAGCGCACACGCTCTTGTACACGTGCCGCATGCCTGGTGGCAGGAAGAGGATCGACGACATCAGGGCGCGCGCCCCCATCCTATCGGGACAGACGAAAGGAGGGATAGCAAATTGCGGTAGCGAACCAGCTGCGTGCAGGATGTTCTTCCGGCGCCTCCTGGCGCCAGGGGCGACCATGAAATGTTAGGACGAGGACTGGGACTACTCAGCCGAGAGCGATAGGGGGCCACATGCGAACCCTACCCCTACCCCCCACGATTTCTGAGGGGTAGGGGGTTCGCATGTGGCCCCCTAGATTAGCATCCAGAGCATTCAAGAACAACTCTCTGCAGCTGGGACCAGGCCCGGAAGCGGCCCCGGAGGCCGAACGCCGCGAAAAGACTGCCGCCCCCAACTTCTCGAGCCGCCCGCAGCTGCCTGGGACCCCCACGCCCGCCCTCTGTCCTGGTCGTCGGGGCCAGCGTGTTGCAAGCGGGGTGGCTGAAGAACATGCTGAAGGGGATGACGCCGTGAGGCTCGAGACCGATCGCCGGGGAACAGACAACCACATAAAGACGCAAACTTGCGGAGGTCCGCGCGGATTCGACAGATCGGCGCGGGGGTCCCCTGGCGGCGCCTCCGGCGCCGCCCCCCCGCGCGCTCCGCGCGCCGGGGAGGGAGGCCCAGCGCCGATCCTGGAAATCCGCGCGGACCTCCGACAGCTTTTGGAGGCCTGGAAATGGGCACCAACACCAACACAGGGGGTTGCCTCCACAGGAGGAAGACGATCCTAGATTTCGGTGTTGGTGGTAATATTTCGATCACCTTGGAAGCCAGAATATTACCACCATCACCGAGATCAGGATCTTCTTCCCTCGATGGACCGATGGAGGCACACCGCCAATACTGGTGTTGGGGTCAATCTCTAAGCCTGCGAAGCTTGTGTTTCTGTCTGTCCTTGTCTGCTCCCCGAGATCACCACCGGCCTGTCCTCGGTGCGCAGCCGCTCGAAGGCCGCGTCCGCCTCGGACGACATCTGGACCTGCAGGGAGAAGTACTCGGCGGCCAGGACCATCAGCAGGTTGCCGAACTGGGCGAGCCGCGGGGGCAGCTCCTTCGGGAGACTGTTCACAACACATTTTCCGTGAAGTCATTACCTGGCCATCGCTCGGACGTCCATTGCCCGTGTTTTGTTCGGTTTCGTGCGTGGCTTTTTCGCCAAATGATCGAGGATGCTCCTCGATGGCCCTCGCCGAAGGAAACATGCACACGTCCGAGCGATGCCCAAGCTTTCCGTGAGGTCATCACCCGGGAGGGCCCTGGGCAACGGCCACACTCGGGCGGGCGGGTCACGTTGGGGCGGGGGTGCGCTGCGATCGCCCGGGGGTGCGCGCGAGCGGGCACCTGCGGGTTGGGCGTGGCTTCATGGGGGGGTCATAAATGGGGGGGTCAGAAACGGTCCCTTTTCGTGCCCCTTTCGGGCCCCTCTGGACCCCCAGGGGGCTCGTTTAGGTACCGTTTGGGTACCTTTTCGGACCACCCTCACCAACCCCCCATTTATGACCCCCCCATTACGCAACGCCCAAGCGGGGGGGGGGAGGCGAAGGCCCGGGTGCGGGCCGCTGGCTGCACGCCGGAGGCTCGGAGAACAACCTCCAGAGATCGGGTCGGGCGGAGAGGGGCAGCGACGGCGAGCAGGGGGGGACAGCGACTCGGCCAGGCCCAGGTCGGGCATGGCCCCCTGCAGGCGGACCTTGGACGGAAACTTAAGGAAGCACCCCCCCCAAAAAAAATGCTCCGAGACAGTCCAACAAGAATCGAGAAGTCGCCCCCAGGCTATGATGTTTGACTGCTGTTGTTGAATACTCCTCCTGTGGAGGGGCACGCCCGACGTGGAAGGCCAGAGACGCAGCTGGCTCCCGACGGCGGGCGGAGACCAGCCGCACACCTGCACGGCCCCTGGCCCGGTCGGGCCTCGGCCCACGGGATGTCGGCCCGGCAGGGCTCGGTGCGGGTGCACGGGTTGGCGCTGGGTCGGGCATGCCCCTCCACGGGAGGGAACTTCGAAGACAGTCCAAAAATAGTGCAGGGACGATGTTTCAACTGTGTTCGGGCACGTCCCTCCACAGGAGGGATATTCGAAGACAGTCCCAAAAATAGTCCGGGGACGATGTTTCAACTAATTATGTTTGACTATGCTTGCACATCTGTTCTGACTGTTCTTGATGTTGCTTCCGTCGGCGGTGGACAAACCTCCCTTTAGTAAACCTCCCTTTAGTGAAAACGAGCTGGGACCGAAACCGACGGACCTGGACCCGCAAAAATAACGGCCGCGACGCCCTCTCGAAAACCGAAAACGGACAATTCACTAATCGACGTGTCAGGGTAGGAGGTCTGTCCACCCCCCATTCCGAATTCCACCTCTAGGGGGGGGCATGCCCGACCTGCAGGCGGCGCCCTTTGGACCTCCAGGCGCCTCCCGGCGCGGGAGGCGCCGGCGCACCGAGCGAGGCGAGGCGCCCCGGCGGGGTCGGAGCCAGCTGCGCGCAGCCGGCCCGTGCCTCCCGTCTCCCAGAATTTTGCCCTCCTTTTTCCGGGGGTTGGCAGCGGACCAGCCCGCCACCGATCCTGGCCTGACCCATCCCAGGCCCAGGACGGATGCCTGTGCTTGGGTCGGGCGTGTCTCCCTACAAAGGCAGCTCCTGGACGAAAGTAAAAAGACATCGAAGATGCCTAGAAGTAAAAAGACATCGAAGATGCCTAGAGAAGTCCTCTCCAACAAGTCGTCCCCCAGGCTATCTCTGGACTCTGGTTGGATATGCCCCCTGCAGAGGGGCAGGCGGCCCGATCTGAGCCCAGGCCTCCCTGGCCAGGCCGGCCCGCGGCCCCCGGACGGGCCCGGCCGGGATCGGCGAGGCGCCCTCGCGGACGCCCCCCGCTCTCTCTCGGAGGGGCGCGCAGAGGGTAGAGGGCGGGGCCCTGGGGCGCACAAAAAAAATAGACGCAAAGAACCGGATGCCCCATCATTTTCCTATTTCTTTCTGGGTTTGGGGTCTTCCCCCCCACTGCCCATGTGTTCCCATCTTTTCTGGGGAATCGACACTCCACTGTGTCTGTGCGTTTTTGTTCCCAGCCGCTGACGGCACCACCACCGGCTTTTTGCCTCCCGGTACTTCGCCTCCGGGTTCCTGTTCAAGGCGTCCCTTTGCATGCCCTTCGCCTTCGGCATCGCCTGATCCTGGGGCTTAATGTTTTTGTTCCCTCCTGAGTGGAGGGCGGGGCGCAGAGAAATGCTAGTACTGTATGTCCTCCCTGGAGGCGCGCGTCCGGCCCGAACACTTGTATATACCCATCTTGTAGTATATCGTTTCCCGAGCGGTGTGGCCACGAAGCGCCCGCCACGATGCATGCACTATCAGATTTCTCGGTGCGCGCGTCGCCCCTGGGGGGGAGCAACGCACGCACAGTAGTGGTATGTCTGGGCGACGCCGATATAGAAGGTGGGGCAGGGACAGAGGTGAGGATACGGTCGAGGCCAGTCCACAAGAGACCTTCCACGGGAAACCCGACCCTGAGACCCCAGGACGTCCATGGACTTAGCGTCGCGCTCTCCACAGCAGAAGCGCCGAAACCCAAGAAGCCCAGGGCACCCTGGAGGCAAGCAGGGTGTTTCTTGGCATGGGCCTCCACTGTAGAGGAAAATCATACAAGACTGCCCCTGCAAGAATAAAACGTGAGCATGCAGCTAGGTTTACTTCCCAATCCTTCCTTGGGGTAACTCCCTCCCCAGACATCCATTCCTTGCTTTGCTCAGTACGGGGCCCCCAGCAGTCCCGACATTGTCCCTGGGTTTCCATCCCGAGTCGTCTTTCTGACGGCCCCGAGGCCTGGCGAGGGCCCCCTCAGGCATAAAACGGACACAAACCTTCCGTCGTCTTCTTGTTCACGACGCGCTCAGGTATGGGTATACGAACCCCCGAATCGAGATGAAGACACAAAAAATCGGCAGAAGCATAAACTCTCGACGAGCTGTGCGGATTTCTTGGCTCTGCGGTGGGCCCACCTCGCTGGAGTGCGGAGCGCGCCTGAGGCGGCGCCAGAGGCGCCGCCGGGGCGGGCCCAGTGCAGATGCGGATTTGTGCATGGATCTCGGTCAGTGCAAAGCCCCCCAAAAAGGCGAGTGAAAAACGGAATGAATTTGGCGTGGATTGTTGTTAGTCCTCGTCCCTGGCCAACAAGAATGCGCACGGAGTTCCCCTCGAAATCCAGAACGAACTGCTCCAGGACACTCCGGGCGCGTCCTATCGTCTTCCGGACGAGATCCGCTCTGCGATGTTGGCGCCGTGACAGACCCGAGACATCCGCGCGGAGCTCCGACAGCTCGCGTGCATGCCGGCCGCGGCAGCACGGCGCGGGCCCCCGGAGGCCGAACACGAGCGGACCCCTTCCGTCATGCTGGCTCCCGGCGCGGGCATGTCTGCTCGAGCAGGGACCGACCGTCCCGGCATTCCTGTAGTCATGCCACGACATGTTCTTCGAACCCCAAAAAGTGTTCGAAAAACAGAAACAATGTTCTCAGAACATAAACCCGATGCGATAAAACAAGACAGACTCCGCCAGAAATGTTCGAAGAACATTTCGTGGGAACCACAAAAGGTTCTTAGAACATTGTTTGGTGGGGTATAGGCGAGCCAGGATGCTTCGCCACTGCTCGAGTCTGGGTCTACGACCCACCGAAATCTCGCAGGCGGAAAACGTACCACCGGACCGAAAACAAGAAGAACGTCCTGCAAGAGCATGAGACCCTCCGCCGGCCCAAACGCGCAGAAGATCCCAGCGTACCCTTCCCAGGATGCACAAGAACATCCAACAAACACGAAGAACATTAGGGCACCCTCCCCGAACCGACCTCGACCTGCTACCTCGGCTCGACCGTATCCGCATCCGCGGCCTCGCGGGCTGGGTCCCTGGACCATTCTTCCACGGAGGCCCCGCGCGGAACCTTCCCGTGCGACTGCAACTGCGTATCCGAGGGACCGCGCCCCAGAATCCGGCCCGCGAGGGCGCGGATGCGAATAATTTGCCCGGCCCGATCCTTGCCGCTGTCCGGCAGCGGCAGCACGGCGCCCGCCACCAGCACGCCGGCGAGCGCCACCTGCGCCGGCCGGGGCAACACCAGCAGGGCGGCGCCCGCCAGGGTCAGCGTGAGCAGCCACCCGATCCACGTGTAGACGGCCCACAGCTGCAGCAGCTGCCTCGAGGAGTCCTCCCACCTCTCCCCGTCCCCAACTCCTCCTCCTCCTCCTCCTCCTCCTCCTCCTCCTCCTCCTACTCCTCCTCCTCCTCCTCCTCCTCCTCCTCCTCCTCCTCCTCCTCCTCTTCCTCTTCCTCCTCCTCCTCCTCCTCCTCATCGGAATCCTCATCCTCATCACCATTCTCATCCTCATCCTAATCCTCCTCCTCCTCCTCCTCCTCACCATCATCATCAGCAGCAGCATCAGCATCTTCATCATCACCATCACCATTATCATCACCATCAATATCAGACTCAGTATCACCAGCATCAACATACTCATCATCATCATCATCATCATCATCATCATCATCATCATCAGCATCATCATCACCATCATCAGCGTCATCATCGTCAGCATCATCACTATCACCATCATCATCAGCATCATCATCGTCATCAGCATCATTTACAACAACAACATCATCATCATCATCATCATCATCATCATCATCATCATCATCAACATCAACATAACATCATCATCATCATCATCATCATCATCATCATCATCATCATCATCATCATCATCATCATCATCATCATCATCATCATCGTCATCATCCCGTCTCCCGCTCGCCCTCATCCTCGTCCTCCCCAATTCCGTTTTCCTTATACATAACTCATCCCTGTCGCAACCCGAGGCAGGTCGAAAGGGCAAGCCGGGTGTTTCGCCTCAGACTTCCTCGCCATTGATGATCCTGGAGCTTACATGGTGTACCAGTTTCACGGATGGAGGACGGATCGTCTTCAAAATGTGGCTCTCGCCTTAGCGCCGCGCACGCCTGTATTAAAAACTGCAAAAGCTTTACGGATGGAAGGCGGGCCGTTTTCAAACTATGGTGTTGCTTTAGCGCCACGCACGCTAATGCTAAAATGCGCAAGTGCCTCACGGATGAAGAGCGGGCCGTTTTCAATATGTGGCTCTCGCCTTAGCGCCGCGCACATTTGTTCTAAGAGACCACAGCATTTGCAAGGATTCCGATGATCAGCGTCCCAGGACCGGTGTTTTGGCACGATGTCGGATTGTCAAGGCGCCACAGTTACGTTGACTCGTGGTGGTGAAGTCCCAGGAGTTTTGATCTGGCACGATGCACGATCGTCAAAACGCAACAGTAACAATGATGTGCGGCGTTGAAAATGTCATCCAACGGGGCACTTCCTTCAGTGAAAATGAATCCTTGTAGGGGCCTGTGGAGAGGTAAAGTTGGAGGGTGGGGTGATTGCAAGATAGTTGATGGGTCTTGGGTTTATACTGGTCCTCCTCCTTCTCCTCCTCCTCATCATCATCATCATCATCATCCCTTTCCTCCTCCTCCTCCTCCTCCTCCTTCTCCCCCTCCTCCTCCTCCTCCTCCTCATCCTAGTCCTCATCCTCATCCTCCTCCTCCCTTTCCTGCTCCCCCTCCTCCTCCCCCCTCCCCCTCTCCTGATCCCACTCACCCTCCCCTCCTCCTCCTCCTCCTCCTCCTCCTCCTCCTCCTCCTCCTCCTCCTCCTCCGCCTACTCCTAATCCTCCTCCTCTTCCTCCTCTCCTCCTCCTCCTCCTCCTCCTCCTCCTCCTCCTCCTCCTCCCCTCCTGCTCCTCTCCTCCTCTCCCTCCTACTCCTCTCCTCCTCCTCTTCCTCCCCCTTCTCCTCCTCCTCCTACCGACGTACGTACCTCCTCCTCCTCCTCCTTCTCCTCCTCCTCCTCATCCTCCTCCTCCTCCTCCTCCGCCTCCTCCTCCTCCGCCTCCTCATCCCTGCTCCCCCTCCCCTGGCATTGCCGTTTTAAGCCGGGGGCGCCAAGGAGAGCAAGGATTCCACGACCCCGCGCGGGTTGCTCGGGCCGACGCTGGGCCCCCCATGTGTCCTGGCGCGCGGAACGCGCCGGACGCGGCGGCGGGGAGGGCCGCCAGGGGCCCAGCGCCGACCCGAGCTGGGCGTTGCTGTTTTGGGGGGCGATCAGTGGGAGGGGGGGAAACGTGTCATTGTCGTGCCCCTTTGGGCCCATGGGGGGGACCCCTTAGGGCCCCTCTAGGGCACAAAAGGTGCATCTTCTTCAGCCCCCCAAATACAGAACGGGCGCGGCCGAAAGAAACCCTCGCAAGAAACCCAACCCTGAAAACCCGCGCGCAGGGTGCACCTGAGGGGAAACCCAGAGCACCCTGAACGCATCAGCTTCTTCAACGGCTGCGGGAAGTCACCGCGCAGCGCGCGGAGCGAAGAAATACTGGATACCCTGACGAAAAGCATCTGGTTTCTTGATGCGCGCCCCCTCTGTACCGCTCCCCCCGGTGCGCAGCGCCACACCGAGAGGTCCGCGCTGGCCTGCGGGAGTTGGTGCTCGTGCCGTTCTCTGTGCCTCGGCGCACTGGCACGAATGAATATATAAATATGTATATATATATATATATATATATATAAAAAAAAAAAGGAGGGCCCTGGGGGAAGCGGAGCCTGGTCCCTCGGGCTGTTCGGCGGGGCGAACTGGGCCGTCCAGGAGTTGGGCCGTCGAAAGGGTGTACAGTCGGGCTGCTCAAATAAGGAACGCTAAATAAGGAACGAAGCCCCTCTGCGGCTTCAAAAAAGCCTGGGTGCACGAGAAGGGCTAGGGGAACAACCGCGCAAGGACGCGAGGAACATCGAGCCCCTCCCGAATCCAAACTGTTCCTCATTTCAGCGCCTTGGCTGTACGGAACGGCGCTCGGGGAGACATGTTCCACGATCTTTGGAACGTCGTGCCGCGGGGCGTGCGGAGCACTTCGGCCCCCTCGACGCGCAGACCGCTTCCGCGCCGACACCGCTCCGCCCGGCAGCGGGATCCGGCCGCGCGAGTGGGGCGCAAAGTGTCTGCGGGGGGCCAGCCGCGCGAGTGGGGCCGAAGCCGCTGTCCCACAGGTTCAGATCTGCGTCCCCCCCTCCTCCTCCTCCTCCTCCTCCTCCTCCTCCTGCTCCTCCTCCTCCTCCTCCTCCTCCTCCTCCTCCTCCTCCTCGAGCCGACGTGTCGCCTGCCCCAGAGCCTCGGGAGCGCTCCGGCAGGCGACGGCGGCGGTGCAAAAGAGCCCCAGGGCCCCGGTCCCTCGGGACCCCTTGTCCTGCACTCGGCGGCGAGCCCCGAGGGGGGAGGCGAGGAGGGGCGGGCCGTCTCGGGAGGCACGGCAGGCTCCGGGCCCTCCGAGAAGGTGCCCAGGCCCTCCCGAAGGCACGAGCAGCTTCTCGGAAGGCGCGAGGGCGGCTGAGAAGCCCCGCCGCCTTCCGAGGGGGCCTTCTCCTTCTCCCTTCCCCCCCCCCCCTCGCTCGCCGCCGATTCACCGCGCCCCAGGAATAGCCCCCGAGCCTCTCCAGAAGGCATCTGTGATGGGGGCCCAGGGACACACAAATAAATACACACAAATCCCAGGATTCCCCGTGCATTTCCATATTTTGTGGATTTTCGTCTTCCCCCCCAACTGCCCATATTTTCTGATATTTTTACGGGGAATCGACGCTTAAGTGTGTCTGTGTGTTTTTCCCTCCTGAAGCTGGAGCAACAAAAACCGCGGGGAGCCCGGCCCCGGCGACGAGGTGCCTCCAGGACGCCCCCAAACATGGCGAGTTGTGTGGGATTAAATCGGGCCTGTCCTCCTATAAATCGGGCCGTGCGTTCCGCACACGCCGGCCGACGCCCCCGACGTCTGCGTGACCGGCGTGTCTGACGCCCCCGATCAGAGTGAGGGGGCCAAACGGTCTTACCCTGAGATCCTGGCGTCATACATGTTTCGAGCTCGGAGATTTCGTCTGGTTTCGGGCCCTGGGACCCTCGCAGATCGAGCTGGCTCCCAAAATGCCGCATAATGCTGGGGTCCAGGGCTCTGGTCGTGATTTGTCGCGAGCTGGTCTCAGGGTACGCCATCCCTGGATGCGTGTCTGGAGTGGGCTTCCGCGCTCAGGATTCCTTACTGTACTGTTGTTGTCGTCGTCCTCGCCTGCGAGCCCTCCGCGACCCACCCGCCGCGACCCACTCCGCGCCTGCTCCCTCACTCTTGCCCGCAACTGCGCGCGTTGCTACGCACTTTCGTGATCTCCTCGCCGCCCCCTCTTCGACCCCCCTGGCGTGAGTTCATGGGGCTGCGATGTGTGTGTGGGGGGGAGGAGGAGGAGGAGGAGGAGGAGGAGGAGGAGGAGGCGGAGGAGGAGGAGGAGGAGGAGGCGGAGGCGGAGGAGGAGGAGGAGGAGGAGGAGGAGGAGGAGGAGTTAAGGTACCCTGAGGAGGAGGAGGAGGAGGAGGAGGAGGAGGAGAGTTTCACAGTAATGGTCGGCTGGTTAAACATCTGAAGAGACAACCTGTGTGTGCCAAGACTTGGTATGGGCTGGGCAGGCCCGTCTCCAGTGCTGAAGTGGAGTCTTGGAGACTCGACAGTTTGGCCAGCCAGAGCAAAAATCGGAAAGCTGGCAAACATGAGAATGTTGTTGAAAAGGCCGCCCACCCAGTTTACGGACCGCCGCTCGCGCTGAAAATTGCTGTTGACGATTCTCCCACGGTTGACGCTCCTGTGTGTTTGCTCGCCAGGCCCGCAGTGCAAGCGCCCGTTGGAAGACCCTCCAACGCCATGCTTCAGCCCTTTTTTCTCATTGTCAGCTCAGGAGAGAGGAAGGAGGAGGATTTTCAATGCCATATCGAGTTCAAGAGCTCGACTTTGAGTGTGCACGTTCAGTTCATCCATGTGTCTCACGTGGAGTGGCTTGAGCAAGATGTAAAGAAATGGACGGATCTGATGGGGGAAGGAAAATTGTGTGGAGGGTTTTTTGCTGTGCCTGGTTTTAGAGGGACCCTTGGTGCCCGTGTGAAACCTCCGAGGAATCGTGAGTGCGCCTGGGGCCGACCCAATTTGAACGCCAGAGAGCGAAGTTGTGTCAAGGCCGAGAACAAATACTTGAGAGACTGTCTCGAGCTTGCTTGTGCGGCAGCCTTGCACAAGGTTCCGTGGACTTCGATTGTACAGCGCGAAGTTGGACATGGTTGTAAAATTCAGGATGTGCCCGAGGTTGCTCTGGCGGGAAAAAAGAAAGTGATGGCCTCGCACGTTCTTGATAGTTGCACGTTTGGACAGCACACTAGATGGGAACCGATTACCACGTGGAGTGTGTCCATAGACACCCTCGAAGGGGAGCTGAGGGAGAAAGGCTGGGGAGTCTGCAGGGAAGCGCACTCCCACATGGGACTCGACGGGAGAGCGCCTAACTGGCAGAGTGAGTTGCACGCAGGGTTCTATGATGTGCTTGCGTCCGCTTTCACACATGAGTGGAGGAAAGGGTTGCTGTGCAGTGATGAGGGTGAAGTGGTGAATGTGCTCGGGGGTGGATTCGAGTTCTGGAAGCCCTTGGACCCGTTCCCTGCATTGTAACGGCCCCCGCTCTCTTTTTTGCTGTTGGCCTCCGTGTTGGACTTGACCCCTGATGTCTAACTGCACGTGCCCTGCAGCCCTGCTCCGTAGGAGCGCTCTGTCCATTTTCCCTTGCCCTGCACCCCACACCTAGGAGAGGCTTCGACTCGAACCGGCCTTTAGTTCCGACCGACCGACCGACCGAGGAGGAGGAGGAGGGGGTGAAGAAAAAGGTGCGCCTCCTGTGCCCCAAAGGGGCCCTGAAGGGTGCCCCTGGGGTCCCAGAGGGGCACGAAAGGGGCACGGTTCTCGGGGGCGTCCAAGAGGGGGGCGTCCAAGCGGGGGGGCGCAGATCATGGCCGCCGGCATGTGCGCGCTCCAGGGTGGGGCCGGCGACGTCTTGAAATCAGAAGAGGCGCCATGAAATCTAGGGAGATAGCATGGCCCCCGCCATGATGCCCCTCCCCCCCTTGTCACCCCCTGACATCCGACGCAGGGGGAAAACTGCAACGTCGTGAAGAATCACGACCAGAGCCATGGACCCCACCTTCCTGCGCCACTCTTCGAGCTCGGGCCTGAGCGACCGCCGTGAGGGCCCCAGGGCCAGAGAGAAAGGGCGAAGTCGTCCGGCTCGGCAGAAGTGCGACGCAAGGATATCTCAGGGTCACCCCCCTCGTGGCCACCCCCCAAATCCTCCCCTCCCACTTTGAAGGGGCCCCAGGACACACAAATAAATACAGACAAATAAAAAGATTCCCCATATTTTCCTATATGTTCTGGGTTTTTGTCTTCCCCCACACTTCCCATATCTTCCCATATTTTCTGAGGAATCGACGATTAATTGTGTCTGTGTGTTTTTTTCCCTCCTGACAGTTGATTGCCTCCCTCACGAAACAACTCCCAAGCTCCCCAAGGTCTTGAGCAGAGACCGACCGTCCTGGCAGTCCTGCGGGCCTACCACGACGTGTTCTTGGAATCCAGAAGTGCTCCGAGAAGAGAAGCAAGGCTCTCAGAACATCAACCCGATGCATTAAAACAAGACAGTCCCAGCCAGAAATGCTCTGAGAACATGTCGTGTACACCACTCGAGGCTCTGAGAACGTTGCTCGGTAGGCCTCTAGGCACGCCAGGACGCTTCGCCGCTGCTTGAGAACCGCCGCCCCGCGGCCTCAGCACGCCGTACCGCTGCCGGCCCGGGCCGCGGCTGACCAGGCCGGGGGGCAGGGCGGCCTCCGTGGAGGCCCCCGGGGCAGCCATGCGCCGGGCGCGGGCGCGCGCGCGCGGCGGCTTTGGCGGCAACTCTCCGGGCTCGACCTAAACAGAGTTTTCGTTGTCGTGTTTTCGTTCGTTGCCCCTCGTTTTGTCTTCCATCCGCCTCTGCCGCAGATCGAAGTCGAAAGGAGAAGAACGGCCCACGAGGTCGCCAAGACACCGTTTAGGTCCACCCCTGTGGCAACTCGTGGGAGGCCCCCCATGCCATCTTGTCGGCTCGTGCGAATCGTCGCTAATCTACGCCAGCCGACGCTAGCCGACGCTAAATCGAAGGCAATCGACGCTAACCGACGCTAAACCAGCACTCTGTCATCCACTCCCAGACGCTAATCGACGCTAGTCGACGCTAAAGACGGAAGTATGAGGGCATACCAGGCTCCCATGATTTGCTACCGACGGCGGCCCCCTCCGAGGCGGAGTGAGCAGGGGGGGACTGCGCCTTGGGGGGCCCTGGGAGCGGCAGGGCCGTCTTCTCGCCCTTGTGAGGAGCTGCCGCTTGATCATGGGAGCGGCAAGAAGCCAGTTCACCGAGGCATGAAAACAAACCGTTCACCGAAACGGCCTGGGCAGTCCGGGGATCCGATGGACGTCCGGGACTGGTTCGAAAACAGCTCGGATCCTGATATAAAAAAAACGGTGATCTAGGGCCCCGTGGAAACGAAAACGGTATAACAACGCTGCCAAAGACGTCAAAATAAGTGCGCTGGAAGCTTCAAAACAAGTGGGAAAAAGACCGTCTAAAAACTGCCCTGCCGTTTCCAGGATCCATTGAGGCCCCCACGAGGAAATAGTAAGCGGGAAAAGCTACGCACAGCCAAGCGTCACAGCCACAAGGAATACACAATCCCACCAGCCCTTTGGGCGAAGGTGGTTTGAGGAGTTAGTCTTCGAGCATCCTTAAGGTTCTTCCCCTTCGGGGAGAGGCTCACCAAAGCTCCCTACTAATAAAAAGCCCCTCCCCCACACGACCGGCAGCCAATCCAGACCCATGCGCAGCGCTCTCCTCCATACTGATCAGGAAATACTGCAAGATTTACTTTGCCTCCACATCTGGAGAATGCGCGGGCACCGCGCGACCATTTAGCATGTGTTTTTGAAAGGGACGGCGGGGTTGCCGGCATATTGCGTGCTGCGCGCAGGCCAACACCCTCTCACCATCCCTTGAACAAAAAATCATGCAAAGTTTGCACCAAAGCCTGGATCATGCGAGGAAGCCTCGCAATCACTTTGCATGTGTTGTTGAGAGGGACGGCGGGGGAGACAGCATATCGCATGCTTTGTGCAATGCCAACACCCCCCAACCATCCCGTGCAACAGAAAACAACAACAGCAACAACAACAACAACAACAACAACAATCATTTTACCCGAACGCGTGGTGTTCTCCCCAGTGCCAGGGTTTTCATACGACACCAGGCAATACCCCCACTTCGTGGGGGGGCATTACAAGCTCTACCAAATATCCAAACGACTCTTCGCGACCACCCAAACCCAGCTTCCCGCCCTATGACGTTGGGACACTTCACTTCGTGGCGTGCGGACGACCGTGGCTACTACACTGGCGTGGGGTACACACCCACAGAACTTGGTCACTTATTCGGGGCGCGCATGTGCCCAGCATGGTGCAATTGTGCCATACAATACATAATACAGAGAGACGAATGTGTCCCGCATGGTATTATTTGACAGGGATGATGGCCCTGGCAGGTGCGCAACCGTTGTCGCAGAAGTTCGAAAAAGTTGCTCGCAAAAGCCCGTTTGACAGAAATGTTTAAAAAGTGTTGGGTTTCCTACGAATCCGCAAGAGCGCGCGGGATGAGATTTTGACATTTTTTTGTTGAAAAACCATTGGTTTTTTGATGTTTTTATGTTAAAATCGCTCCGAACACTAAGCTTTTGGAAGGATTTCGTCTTGCGCGCGCGAATGTCCACTTTACCTTATTTTTTGCAAGGGATTCTTGAAATTTGATTATATTTGAACAAGAAATTTCATTTTATAGTGTTTTTTGCAAGGGAAAGCGGGGGGAACAAAACAACCGGATCTGGATGACATCGAATTACCTGAGGCTTCCTCACGAAAATGATGAAAACGTGGCTGCGGCCTAGGCGCGGCGGGGGGGGCGTGCACCAGGGGGCCCAACAATAATTATTCTTTAGAATTAATAATGTTCAACAACAACAACAACAACGACAACAAGCTGTGCCTCCACATCTGGCATATGCGCGGGCGCCCCGCGACCACTTTGCATGGGCTCGCGACAGGGACGGCGGGGGTGCCAGCATGTTGCTTGCAGCGCGCAGGCCAACACCCCCCATCATGCCGTGCATCCAAAAACCGTACAAAGTGCAGTTTGCACCAAAACCTTGATCATGCGAGGACGCCTCGCAATCACTTTGCACGTGTCCTTGACAGGGGCTGCGGGGGGACAGGATATCGCCCGCCGTGTGCAATGCCAACACCCCCCACCATCCCTTGCAAAAGAAATTCAACATGCACTTTGCACACAAAACTAGGTCATGCGCGGACGCCTCGCGTTCACACTGCACTGGTTTTTGACAGGGATGGCGGGGGGGGCGGCATATTGCCTTGTGCGTGCAGGCCCCCCCCCTTTCACAAGAGAGAATGCCCACCAATACCTATTCGAAAAACAAATGCAAAACGATCGTGGGCGCACACCCGCACACAACAAACCCGCCGTCCCGTTGCACTGGTTTTGACAGGGACGGTGGGAGGGTCGACGTGTTGCCCGATGCAGCGCACCTCGTGCGCGTGACGCAGCTGGCATCTGCGGCTCACCTCGCGGGTTTCGCGGACCTGGCTGGCGTCTGCAGTGCTTCCCGATGCTTGTCGATGGCGGCCCCTATCCGTACTGAGACCCGGGTGTTCATTAAGTGTCGGGAGGGCGGCTGGGAATGAGCGAAACGGCTTGTTGCTTAGCTTGACCTCTCCCCGAATTCCCCTCTCTCCCTGGGTCTGGACGCGAGGGTTTCGCGAGGCGTTAGGCCGTCCAAGATGGCTCGGGATGGCCTCAAGTGGGCCAACTATACCCCAAGATGACCGCCCCAGATCGCTCCAGATGGCTCCTCACATGCCTCCAAGAGGCCCCAAGACCGCCCCAAGACGGTTCCCAGTGGCCACTGAGCCTCCCAAGGACCCTCCTTGGGAGGCCGAAATCCGTCCACAAACAGGGGGAGGACAGAACGCCCTTTAGCAGAACACCCTTCTTCGTCAAGACGACACGGGACCAAACCCGGCGGGCCAGGCCTGGCAGAAACTGCGGCCGCCACACCCTCCCGAGCATCGAAACATGGCGAGTCGCGAATCACCTTGGCAGGGTGTCGGGGCTCAAGCGACGGGGGTCAATGCAAGCGGGGGTCAGTGAAAGCGGTGGATCTTACAGGATCCTGCAGAGCCAGGGGCGCACTGACCCGGGCTTCGGTGCAGGATCCTGCAGGATCTTGCAGGATCCTGCAAGGCCCGACCGACCCCGGCTTGCATTGGCCCGGGTCGGTGGATCCCCGAGGGTGGAGGCTCCACCCACCTCCGGCCCCATCAACTGGCACCCAGGCCCCCGAAGGGTGCCGGCAGAGTGCACCGTGCCTCGCCGCTGCCCGGGGGCGCACCCGCCAGCGTCGGCGCCAGCGCGGGGGCTACAGGGCCCCGGCGGTGAAGCCCGACCGGCGCCGCTCGGCAGCTCCCAGGCCAGGGTCAGCGGAGGGACAAGGACGGCGGGGGCGGGCTCCGCGCGCGTCCCAAAGCTGGGGGGGTACCAGAGGGGATCGGAGGGGAGCTGCTGCCCCCCTGTGGGCGCTGACCCCCGTCACGGGCGCCGCGAGATGCCCCCCCCGTCACCTTCCCCTCCTCCTCCTCCTCCTCCTCCTCCTGCTCCTCCTCCTCCTCTTCCTCCTCCTCCTCCTCCTCCTCCTCCTCCTCCTCCTCCTCCTCCTCCTCTTCCCCCTCCTCCCCCTCCTCCGAGGGCCCCCCCCCCTCCCGCGGCCCTGCACTGGACGTCGGCGCTGGCCAAAATGGCTCCGAGGCAGGGCCGCAGACATCTGGCGGACCTGGTGGCCTGCCGCTCCCACCTCTTGCGGTTGCTCCGAGCACTTCGCCCATCCTCCTCCGAATCTCATCCTACCCGCCTTCCTTCCTCCGACCAAAATCAGCTCCAGGGCGGTCCTTGGGCTCCTGGGCCTGCCTGGTCCTCGGGAGGGGATCCCCTATCCAACGCGCCAGCTGCTGCTGCTGCTGCTGCTGCTGCTGCTGCTGCTGCTGCTGCTGCTGCTGCTGCTGCTGCTGCTGCGGCTGCGGCTGCGGCTGCGGCTGCTGCTGCTGCTGCTGCTGCTGCTGCTGCTGCTGCTGCTGCTGCTATCCCGTCAGCTTCGGTGAGTGAGCAAGATCAGCCCTGCCGCGCCCCAGCGCTGCTGCTGCTGCTGCTGCTGCTGCTGCTGCTGCTGCTGCAGTAAGAGTCTGACGTAAAACACAATCGACAAGGAACGAAACCCCTGTGAAGCAACAATTGCGCAGTTTTGTCTTCGGCAGCCGAGCCCGCAAACTGTGGCGCAACCAATGGCAGGCAATATATTTCTGGCCGCCGAGAGCGCAACCTATGGCACAACCGATAGTTGGTAGTTTTACGTTCGGTGCGCGCAGTTTGTGGCGCAACTATTTGCATGCTGTTTCACGTTTGGGCGCCAAATTCGAAACCTATGACGCAACCAGCTATATGCCATTTTACGTTAGGCCGCCGAATGCGCAACCCCTGGAGCAACCGATTGCAGATCGTTGTATGTTCGGCCGCCAAATGCTCAACCTATGGCGCAACCCATGGCAGGCCGTTTGATGTTCGGCCGCCGAGGGCACAACCTGTGGTACATCCCATGGATGGCGCGCAACCCATGCCGAAACTCATGGATGGCACAACCCGCAACCCGCGGCGCAGCCTGTGGCGCAACATGATGCAACCCATACATTGCGCAACCTATCGC